AGGGAAGTGGCTGCTTTTGGGTAGTTTTGCAAATGAAGTAAATGAAATCCTACTTGCCATATAACCCTACTGGGTGACCCTGGGCAAGTCACACTCTCCCAGCCACAGGAGAAGGCAATGGCAAGCCCCCTCTGAAGAAACCTTTTCAAGAAAACCTCATGATAAGTTTGCCTTAGGGTCATCATGAGTCAAAACAACTTGAGGGCACACAACAACAACAACAATTGCTGGTAGCCAGCCCAAGTTCCAAAGGGAGCCTGGAGCCCCACAGCTTTGTATTTGGGGGGAAGGACGGCGAGGCTAGGGTGTGGCTTGGGAAAGTGAAAGAGGGAGGCCCCTCTATGGAAAGAACAACGCTGCCCGAATGGAGTGCCTGGTGAAGAGGGTGGGTGGGCAAGCAAGCTCAGCAAGATTTCCATCTGAGTAAGGAAATGCTACGTGGCTACCTGGGTAGCCCATGTCAAGAAATGTCCCTGCAGCCGCCCTCCTCCGCCTCCTCCTGGCTTCTCCTGGCAAAGGGGGGGGAATAAAAAGGGGGGGAGGAAGGAACAGGAAACCCCAGGAGTTGTCAGAGCATTTGACAGTATCCAACACAAGAAGGAACAGAAGAAGATCCTGCCTCTTTCTCTTCCCTTCTGCCCTGGCTAGCTGGCTTGAGCTAGCTAGCCAAGGCAAAAAGGAAAGAAGTGCACCTGCCTGCCCTCCTCCCTTTCCTTTAGACTTGCAACCAGCAGGTGTTTTTCTTACCCAAAGAAGGTTTCACAGGACTCCTTGTAAGCTGAGCAGTTTCTGGAAAAAGGTGGCCATGGTAAGTATTTTGGTGCCTAAAGAAGGGAGCAAGCAAGGAAAGGGGAAGGACAGGGTCCCTTTGCTCTGTTCCAGGATGAGGCAAAGATGGAGGAGCCATGCTAGGTCTCTTGCTTTTCAACCTGGACAGACACAGCTTGTTTCCCTTGCAGATCTCCATTCGGCCTCCCTCTGTCCTGTTCCAAAATGGTGTACAAAAGAAGTTTCTTGCAACTAGGTTTGCCATAAAACCTCAGATGCAAGTCTATGAAAGCTTATGCTACAACTTTTTTCACACAGTTAGTCTCAAAGGTGCTACAACATCCCTCTGCATACTGATATTCCAGACTAACAAGGCTATGTCTCTGAATTCTACCTCTGAACCTGTTCTTTATCTTAATAATAAAGAGGGCAGGGCTAAGGCTCTGGGGCTTTATTTTACCTGTGTCCTCCATATCATTCTGAGGCTTTATTTTACCTGTGTCCTCCATACCATCAGCCAGCTCTGAGCCAAAGTGTGAGGCCGCCTGTGCCTTTCCCGCCCCCCGCCCCCACCAACTTTGACTCTATATTTTGGCCACTACTTAAGGAGTCTTGGTAGATTGTCCTTCAGCCATTCAAGGGGACTATAAGGTATTGGTGGGATGAAAAGCCTTGAGTTACATCAGGACATATGTCCATCAATCGACGGTTCTGGGAAGAGGTTAGATATTTTCATCAGAGAAGCAATTCAAGTTGTCTGGGGCAATGGAAGATATGGTGTTAGCAGGGCAAAAGGTCGTTACAGAGGAAGACGCAATACATGCTTGATATCCATCTCGCCTTCCACTCACCCTGCTATCCTAAAAGATCTGGTGAGCATGCTTAACCAGCTGCTGAACCTTTCTCTGCTCTTAGGTAATGTCAGGTCATTGAAGAATAAGTCCTGGATTATATATGACTTACTGATAGATCACAGTACTGACCTGGCATGTATCACGGAGACCTGGCTAGGAGCAGATAGTGCTGTAACCTGGGCTCAGGCCTTTCCAGCTGGGTACTCCGTCAATGAGCAGGTAAGGGAAAGCGGGTGAAGAGAGTGTAGCCATGACCCATAAAAACAACCTTGCCTTAACCAGGATATCTATCCATGCATTAGACCACACTGAATGCATTTACCTTAGCTTGAAGACCAGGGAGAGACTGGGGATTCCGTAACTTAACAGACTCCCTAGCTGAGCTGAAATAACCAGTCTCAGAGCTGGTGTTGGAGTCACCTAGGCTAGGGATTGGCAACTTTTTTTGCTGGTGGGCTGGGGGGGAAATGGGGCTGAGGGCGGATGCGTGCATGCATGTGCACTACTCCCACCATCGTGCACATGTGTGCGTGTGTGGGGGCACCATTTTGGAACACACATGTGTGTGCGATGCATGTGCGCATGATGCAGAGTGCTATTTTGGAATGCCCAACATTGAGCGTTCCAAAATGGTGCCTGCCGTCGTGCTCATGTGCGCGTGAGTGCGGGCACCATTTTGGTGTCAAAAATGGCAGCTGCACTTGCACACACATGCGCACGACGGTGGGTGCCATTTTGGAACACCAAGCGGCACTGGTGCTGTGCGCATGCACATGGCGCTGGTGCCGTGCGCATGCACATCTCCCATCCGTATTTCCTTGAAGGCTCTGCCATTTGTACTTATTGTTCCCTGTTTCTCAGACCACAGGTATCTTCTTCTCTGCCCTGTTTTGCCTTTGCACCTTTTGGTTATTCCTGGCTCCCCAAACCACATCCTCCTTTCTCCTTTATACATAAAAGAATGCAAATGCCCTATCCATCTCAAAGCACTGTGCTAGACTTTTTAGACCTCTCCTTACCTGCCAAAATGACAGCATTCTGGAGTGCCTGAGCTCCAGCAATTTTTTTCTTTTTCCACCCTCCTGACAGCCCATCTGCTTTCTTCTTCTCACTTTTAATTTTCTCTCCTAACAGGAACACAATGGAGCAAATGTGCTCCCAGCTCATCCTAGCCCCCATGAGCCCATTTCCAAGTGTGGAGACCTAGATGTCATCTTTGATTATAGGCCTTCCAGCCAGAAGCTGCTGGTTACCATCCTGGAGGCGAAGGATATCCCAGACAAGGATCGCAGTGGAGTGAGCACTTGGCAGGTCCATCTGGTCCTGATGCCTAGTAAGAAACAGAGGGGAAAGTCAAGTGTCCAAAGAGGTCCCAACCCTGCATTCAAGGACAAGGTGACCTTCACTAAGTTAGCCCCTGAGGAGCTGAACACCTATGCCATCCGATTCCGCCTCTACTCTGTGCGCAAAATGATCAAGGAGAGGATGATGGGCGAACGGTTCTTTCATCTTAGCAACCTCAACCAGGAGGGGGAGATGAAGATGACACTGGTTTTGGAGCCAAGAAGCAACTTGTGTGTAAGTCCTTTTTCAGTTGTGGCAGGGCTCCCAAAATGTCTCGCTGCTGAATTGTTTCTCCTCACTGGAGTGAATGGTGGAGAGAGTTAAGGAGACTCCACCCCAACATTGGTTTCAAAAATCTGAATGCAGTCACTCATCATTGTTATGTTGCCCATTATCTTTTGCAAATGTTGTGACCTCCCCAGCTGTTTGGAGAAAAGAGGTTCTGAGCAGAGAGTGGGTTAACCCCCACCATCCCCAAATAACCTCTGAGGGCATGTCTATATAGACCAATTACACTGGTTTCTCTTTCACCCCACAACCTGTCTACACAATGTAGGGCCAAAGTCCCGATTTGAGTGTGGACTATCTTTATGAGGGAAGATAAGTTCTGCACCAAATCTGCCCTATCTCTGGCTAAACTGGCTTAAAAAAACTCGCCTTTTGATCCAGATTTTGCAGGAAAATCTGGAGAACTCTGTGGCAA